CTGTGGGAGATGGAGGTTAGATTGAGTGTTCGTGTTGGTGGTGAGGACCCAGTTGTATTGACTGTAGAGGTTCATGGCTAACCTCATTCCCTCCGTACTATCTAGGCAAGGTCTGACGAGTTGTGAAGGAGAATCATAACCTCCTGATGGTTGACCTCCACAGTGAAAGCCAGTGCTTGATTCTGTAGCGTCAATTTTAGCCACGACTGGGGGTCGGAGGTTGCATGGAGTTTGTGGGGTAAAGATCCTCTGTAGATGGTTCATGTCAAGATGATTGGTGTTCTGGGCTTGAGGGCATTGGAGAAATTCTAGAGGAGCGTCAATGTCTCTGAGAAAATTGGAATTGGGAAGGCATGATATAAGAGATTTTTGGAGTCGATAGTAGACTGTGTAATATTATGGGAATTTTATAGAGTAGTATTATTAAAAGAAGTTGATGTTGGGATTGTGTGTGGGCTGAGGTGGGAATTAATAGAAGAGAGTGAAGGCAAAGGGGGGATGTTTGAGGTGAGCCCATTGGAGGGATTATAGAGGCAGAGGAATTGTAGTGAGCTGGTCAGGTAGGTAATCATGGGCTTGGTCAGTAGGTTTGTCGGGTGGAGAAGGTGGCATAAGTGTAGTATGTGGTAGGGTGTGTAGGGCTACTGAGTTAGTTAATATTTGCATGGGTGAGGTGTGTTGAGATGGTGTAGTTGCCACATGTAATTTTGGAGATTGATCTAGTGGGAGATGTTGCATAGAAGAATTATTTAATGGCCCGATTGGATTAGGTAATGGGGCCTGTCCATTGTGAGATGGGCCTGCTTGTGGGGGAATGGGACACGAAATTGGGTTAGATGGTACAGTGGTGGTGGGCTGTATTAGGGAAGGATCCTTATCAACTAATATGGCCAAGTTTTTATTATTAAATTTTTTTTTGAGAATTTAAATTACCACCTTTTGGAAAACCAGCGGCATTGGAAATTTTTTGTGTAGGGTTAGAAGACATACATGGTTGAGCTGGCGGGGGCCGACCTTTGAGGATTTTGCCTAGGCGCCGATTGTAACAGTGGTGGCTCTTTGGCATGCAATCTGTATTGTGTGTGTTGTCTTTTGGGGAAAACCACAATCTTTTCGGCTAGTGGTGGTGAAGAAGACTGTTGGCCGTCAGTGTAAGGGGAGGCAGCACTGGTCGATGTGTGCGAGGTCGAGACTCGTGTGGTGGAGTAGGGGCATCTGGTAATGGAGTGACCCATCTTGCCGCAGTTAATACAAAGAAGTTCCAAGCTTTCGTAATGAACTACTTGTTTATGCGTCCCTATACAGAGGTGTGTTTTGAGAGTGTGATCAAGAGGAATTTCTACACATAAATGAGCACATCTCCCCCGTGAAGTTGAGGAAGTGCGATTGTCGACTTTTAATAATTTTCCAATTTTTTTTCCCACCCGTTTCAAGATATTCATATCATAAAATTTGGTAGGTAGTTCGAACAAACGCACCCAAAATGGCTGAGTAGGTAAGAGGAGTGTTGGATGCTATAAATTTTGGTTCCCACTTGCGCCACGGAAAGGTAATGGTTGAGCACAAACCAAGGGCCATCTGGAAGTGCCCTAAACATATTTTCCTCTCATTGGAATTTGATGAGAAAATAATCGGAACCCAAGTCGATTAGTGGAAGATCTTCAGTGGGTTTCCATTGAGTAAAAACTTTCTGCTTCAGTAGTTGGTGTCCCACCTTGCGACCCACAAATTTGATGATAATAGAGTATCTCCAAGGTGAATAAAGATGAGTCTTCTCTTCAACAGTTGGTGGAATAAAGTTTGCTGGATCCGTTACAGTAGTGAGTTCATCCGTTAGGTCTAAATTTGCATTTGTGGGCGATGGATGGAGTGTGTCAATCGATATCTGTATGAGTAATAGTTTTTGAAGAAAGGAGGGATTATCGGGATATGGAGTGGAGCAATAAATTTGCATTAAGGAGGTGTCGGGCGTGGAATTATTGGTTTGAACTAAAGGTGTATAACGGGCCAGTTTGACCCGGAACCGGACCGGCCCAGACCGGTTAAAATCGGAACCGGACCGGCCTGGTTCATAAGGGGCCGGGTGGGCTGGGTAGGAGGGGTAGAGGGGGTTGGACCGTTTATTATTTTTTACCGGTTAACCGGACCCGTTAAACCCGGTCCAATGAATAGTGCCTCTAACCAGTTTAACCGGCCCGGCCCGGACCAGCCCAGACCATGAATATACCATAATATACGATGAATATACCATTAATATACTATGAATATACTATGAATATACCAATTATTGTATACGAATTAACATAGTTTAAAATTGTTGGAATTTAACATATAGTGTATATATTTAGGGTATAAAATTATAAATGTTAAAATCATAGAAAATGATGGTAACGTATTATTTTTAAAATATGCTATATATGTGTTATTTTAAGATTTTAAGACAATTTGTGTTATTTTAAATTATTAGACGTATTTATGCTTAATGTTTTAGTTTGTTAGATTAATTTGAAGTATTATTAATTTATTATGCATAAAAATTTAGTTTTACTATTTTTTGTTAATTTACTTTTTAAATGCAAACTTTAATTTTGTAATTTTGAAATAAATGTAGCACTTGCAATTTATAAGTGCAATTTTTCCCCATCTTTCTTGTATTCTTTATATTAATACAAAGTACTAATATAACTTACAGTAGTTATACAAAATATTAAAAAAAAATTTTAAAAATACTAAACCCGGCCCGGCCCGGCCCCCTCAACCCGTAACCCGTACGGTTCATTTTTTTTTACCCGGATTAACCCGAACCCGTTAAACCCGTTAAGAGCAAGCCCGGAACCAAACCCGTACGGGTCCAAATAATACTGGCCCGGCCCGGCCCGGCCCACCCCGTTAACACCCATAGTTTGAACGGTGTTGGTCATTGGGTGAGTCATAAAGAAGGGGAAAGGGAAGGAAGGAAAGGAGTGAGTTCATGAGAGAGAACAGAGAAAATTCTATATACTTTTTGTTGGAGTAGAACCAAGGTATTCCACTTAGCCGAGTCAAACTAGCGTATAACATTTTGACAATTCGGGAGTTTTATTATTTAAAAGAGTCACTGCCTAATATTTTAAGGACTCATACAGCTTATATTAGCTTGTTTTAGAATTGTGACGTATAAATAGATCTTTGTATTTGCTCCTGGAACAGTTGGTTTTAGATTTATTAGGCATGTATCAAGCCTTTTAGTGCACCAGCTATCTAGCAAGACTCATGCATCAAACTAATCAATCTTACATATCCATGAAATATTGATGTGACATTTCTCCATTTCAGGGCATCTTTCAGCTAAAATAGATCACCAATTCAGTACTATTCCAACTAGGAGTGGCAAACGGTCGGATCGGGTCGGATATGATTCGGTTCGAAAACGGGTTACGAAAGAACGGACAAACTATCCGACCTAATCCATATTAAATACGGATAAAAAAACGGGCTAACCGACCCATATTATCCATGACTTCTTGAATATGATCACTTTTGGTAGAATTCCTAGTCTCCCAAACTTGAGTAACCCCAAAATTTGAGGCTTCACAAATGTAAAAGTTAAACCCATTACTTATCCATTGATTACCTATTAGTTATCCATTTTCTAAATAAATAATATGGTTCTTATCCATATTTGACCCGCTTATTAAAAGTTCATTATCCAACCTGTTTTTTGGTAGATAATACAGGTCGTTAACTACTTTCTTTTAACCATTTTGCCACCAATAATTCCAACGAACAAAAAAAGCTCCCTTATGTTATGTTTATAAAATGCAGCGTGCAACCATAAGATTCTCTTGTACCTACTATAGTCTACATGAAACTAACTTTATATTTGTTGAATGATATCTTGCTTTCTTAATTTTAGTTATAAGTATGGGATGTATCCAAATGGCAGATTTTTGGAGGGAAGAAGTACAAGTAGTAGTTAAGAAATGATGAAAGAGTAAAACCAAAAGGGCAGGCCAGCTTCGTGATTGCAACTTAGTTTTATGGTTGACTAAGTACAAGTTGTCCTAATCCACCAAATATTATGCTATTTTTGTCAAGAACTAGACCACATTTGACTTTTGTTTCTTTTAATATACTTGTTGCACTTCATTTGTATTTTAATAACATCCTATCTAGAATCTTATATGTACTGGCTAGCATGTCTTAGTCATTTTTAAACTTTCTCTTTCTCCCTACCTTGTGAAGTTGTTAAAATGTTAATTCTAGAAAAGATTTTATAATTTTTGTTAGTATTAGCTTTTACCGTTTTGAGATGGACTCATCTTCTTTATTTTCGAAAATATTTTTGGTTTTCACTGGTTGTCTGGTACTGTTTTGGGCCCGATTAGTTCGGATTCACCCCAGAAAATTTTACTTTGGGAGAAAAGCGCTCCCTACCGAAAAAGACTCTAGTTTCAACGTTCGAACTGAAACCTCTTGCTAATGATGAATGAGTATTTATCACCCCTCGTAACCTTTGGTGGAACAATAATTTGTCAAATTAAGACCACTCTTTGTTAAGATAAGCATAGTATTCATGGTCTGCAAAAATGACAAAATGTGCCTTTTTAGGATGATGAACAATGCCACCACTTAATCATACTTAAAAATAGAATTCCATCATCACTAATACTTGAAAATTGAGATAAAGAAAAGAATTTCCAAGAGACCCTTTATTAATTAGACATATAGTTGATATGTTAGGTATTTTGATCATCCAAAATACATATTTAAAAGAAAGAATCTAGAAGAGATGAAGGCCAGAAACTAAGGCATCATTTCCCACCACTTTAACCAAAAAGACAAAGAACGTGCATAAGTGTGAGACTTAGAGCATGCCTTGCAAAAAATGCAGCAAACATAACAAACTAACAAACACATAAAATAAACAAAACATATTCTTAGATAATTGTGTTTGGTTTGATCATTCATGTTAAACAAGTCATTGCATTCATGACATATTCTCACATCTTTTCTCCCTAACATAAACATTGATATTTCAGTCAACTAAGAAAAGAACAAATAAATGAAGACAAGGCTCCCATAGGCCATAACTTCAAAAGATTATAAAGCCACATTAACATTGTCTCTTATGGTCAAAGAACTCTCTCATTCCTCTCCTCTTAGTCATTTTCTCTTTCTTTTTCTCCCAAGAACCCACTTGTGCGATTACACTGGGTTTTTTTGTTGTCGTTGTTGTTTCCTTTAAACATACATCTTTGCCTTAGTTTCGATGGAACAAGAACAAGTATATGATTCTACTAAAGAATGGAGTGCTAAAGTTCCAAAACAAAGGAAATTTGTAGGGGTAAGACAAAGGCCTTCAGGAAAATGGGTAGCAGAGATCAAGAACACAACACAGAAGATCAGAATGTGGCTTGGGACATTTGATACAGCCGAGGAAGCTGCACAGGCTTATGATGAGGCTGCTTGTCTTCTCCGAGGATCAAATACTCGAACGAATTTCCATAATCATGCCCCTGTCAATCCTGCTCTATCTATAAAAATTAGAAATCTCCTCAACCAGAAGAAAAGCCTCAACAAGATCAACTCCAAAAATCCCACCAGTATGCAGAATAATACTACAACTGCTGCTACTGCTACTTCTACTACTATTTCTTCTTGTACAAGTTCTCTTAGTGTAAGCAATAGTTTTAGTTCTAACACTGATACTAGTGGCTCAAGAAGTCATCAAAAAACTCAGATATTTGATGATGCATATAAACCAGATTTGAGCAACTTTATGGCTGGATTTGATCAAATGGGGTCTTCTAATTTTGATCATTCTTCAACGTTTTCAACTGATTTTGATAGGATTCTTTTGGATGAAAAAGTTGGTAATTTTCAGGTACCAAAAGGAGGGGTTGTTAATGAGATAGGAAATGTTGAAGATCAGGTTACTGAATTTGAACACATGAAAGTTGAGAGGCAAATATCAGCATCACTATATGCTATGAATGGAGTGAATGAGTATTGGGAGAATATTCATGATTGTAATATTGATGCTGCTGTTTGGGATCTTCCTATGCTCTACCAAATGTTTTGTCCTAGTTAGGAATTGTTTTAGGCCTTTCTCTATCTCTTATCTTGATAATTGAAGTTAATCTTCAAATTCAAGCTACTCAATGAGTTTCAAATATATATTGAGAGTCTTTTTAGATTCTTGAGATTTGGATCAAATTAAACCTTAAGGCTTCATAGTGAAAGTTGTTGGCAGAGGCGGATCCGGACTTTAGATTCTATGGGTTCAACTTTTAAGGTTTTTAACATTGAACCCATTGTATTTTTAAAGTTATGGGTTCAGGCCTATCATTTATTGCAATTTTAAAAAAAATTTACAAAGTAATTTATACTCCGCATCGAAAGTAGTGGGTTCAGATGAACCCGACGGCCAAACTCTACGTCCGCCCCTGGTTGTAAGTATAGTTCCTAATTTTTTCCATAGGAGATGGGAATAGTTGGGAGGGGGAAATGTGCGATTGGCACATAGGAGGAATGGTTGCCGGGTTTCTCGGCCTGGTATCCTGCAGCTTGCGGTCATGATATCTATACTCAACTGTGCCTCGGATACACGGGCTACATATTAAAATTATATGATTTGATAATTCTTTCCAGAAAAAGAAAGAACCAAGATTGAAGTTTGGCATTTTGATTGACATACTCACAGTTAACTTGGAAAAGATTCACAAGCTAACTTCTTATTTTATAACTCAAACATTATTTTTTTTATATAATATTTATGTGATTTACAAACATTGCACATCGAAATAAGGTAGAAACGCAACACACCTACCTTAAGACTAGTTAGATAATAATTTAAATAGATGGGTGAAAAAATTATGTTAATTTCAGTAGCATTTGACAAATTGGGCCGAATTCACTATAAAACCAAGGGAAACTACCAGCTATATTCATTTATAAGTAGCTCATTACAAAAATTGGGCAATTTATAAAATATTACTAATATTAGCCAAATATTACTAATATTAGCCAATTAGCTATTTGTAGCAAAAAAAATATCAAATTTTTGCTTTCTTTTGAGTGGATGTTAGTAGAATAGATTGGTTACATCTTAAGGAGCTTGAATCTCAATTTTAGGATGATTTGGTGAAGTTTTGAGGTGGTTTGAATTGAAAATTCGAAGTAAAAACTGAATATGAAAAAAAATGATATCTGTATCACACTGTGTATCACTTGTGTATCACATATACATCATATTTGTATCAATTGTGTATCACATGTATATCCATGTATACCTGTGTGTGAGATACATGCATGATACATGTGTCGCAAAAGAATTTTTTGAACTTGATTTAATTACGAATTTTGATACAAAACCAGTCCAAACCACCTCCAATCTTCCTCAAATTTTGTATACTGACTTATCTATACGTTATTAATGAATTTCAACTATATTGTCACGGTCCAAGTTCGCCCTCCGTAAACAGTCGTAATGGCACTTAGTCTCTACGACTAGGTAAGCCTAACAAATGCGAAAAAGAAATAATTGCGGAAAAGAAACTAATAAAAACCGAGATAACAAAGTATAACAGAGTTTAAGATGCCGCCCGGCATATAACAATCCAAGAATTTCAACCTAACACTCCTAAAATCCAGAACCCCATGAATCACAAGCTAAGAGTACATAAAATGCTCTAACTCCAGAAATGTCTAACAACAACGAGATACAGAAGGGCTATACTACTACAGAGAATGGAAAGAGACTCCTCGGTCTGCGGACGCGGCAGATATAACTCGAAGTCTCTATAGAAAGCGCCTCGCCTCAAGGGTGATAAGACTGAGTGGAAGTACCTGGATCTGCACACACAAAAACATGTGCAGGAAAGGGCATGAGTACACCACAGCGGTACCCAGTAAGTGCCAAGCCTAACCTCAGTCGAGTAGTGACGAGGAAGGTCAGGGCCCTACCGGTCATATACAATAACATATAAGAAGATGAGCAGTAGTAAAGAAATACAGATAATGTGAGAAACAACAACCACAACCAAGGCAAATAATCACAGAAGGTATACAACTCAACATAGAGATAACAACCGGGGGTCTACCAGGATCCCGTCCTGTAGCCCCACAAGTAAATAATCAGTGGATCTCCCGGGTGCTGTCCCGTAGTCCATATCACTGTGCAGGGGGATCTACCGGAATACCACATCCGTAGTCCCAAAAGTAAATAATTAGTGGATCTCCCGGGTGCTGTCCCGTAGTCCATATACTGTGCAGGGGGATCTACCAGAATACCATATCCGTAGTCCCAAATAAACAGACAAGGGGGGATCTAATCAGGAACCGCCCGTAGTCCCAATGTAAACACGCAGCAACAACACAAGAATAATCAACTCAATTTAATTTAATATCAAAATAGACAGGTAATTCTAACCTAGCATGCTGCACAGAGTTCAGATAAGGCAGCTTGAGCAAGTAGCCAATTTAGTTATTTAGGCATGCTTTCCTAAGCTAACAGTAAGCTCAAAGTTCAAGTAGTGTACACAGTGAAGTAAAATACGAAATACAGGTACTTAAATGAAAAATAGGATTTTCAACAATCAGCACAAGTACGCGTCATCACCTCACGTACAAGGCATTTCAAATATCACAGTACCAAATCCTAAGGGGAGTTCCCCCACACAAGGTTAGACAAGCCACTTATCTCGAACCAGCTCAATCAAATCTATACCACGTTCTTGCCACGAGTATCCGACTCCAAATGGCCCAAATCTATTCAAAGTAATTGCATAATGTAAATAACACTTCAAGTAGCTAATTCAACTAATAATTTCTAAGCTAATACGAGAAATTAGGAAAATGACCAAAACGCCCCCGGGCCCACGTCTCGGAATCTGGTAAAGTTTACAAATTCAGAACCCTCACACTCTCACGAGTTCATACATACCAAAATTGCTCCAATCCGACATCAAAATCTTGATCAAAACCCCAAAATTAGGCCCAAGAACCTTTTCCAAATTTTTCCCAATTTCTCATCCCAAATCCGAAATTAGATGATGAATTCATGATTAGATTAATGGGTTTTAAGCAAAAAGGAGTTAAGAATCATTACCAGTTAACTCCCTCCGAAAATCTCTCCAAAAATCGCCTCCTAACGAACTCCCAATTCAATTTTCCAAGTTTTGATTTCAAACCCTCGTTCTTCCCCTTTTCTGACCAGTGAAACCGCATCTGCGGCTCTGGGACCGCACCTGCGGTCCAGCTTCTGCATAGACCAAGTCGCACCTGCGACTTTTCATTAAATAGGAATTTTCGCACCTGCGACTCCCTTACCGCACCTGCATTCTCGCAGGTGCGTTCGATTTCTCGCACCTGCGGCTTCTGGAGCCTGGACCAAAATCCGCTTCTGCGGTCACCAAGCCGCTTCTACGGCGCTGCACCTGGGGTCCCATTCACGCAGGTGCGGTTAAGACAGGTTCAGCCAACATCAAATTTTTTCCTAAGTCCAATTCAACTTCCGTTAAGCACTCGAAACTCACCCGAGGCCCCCGGGAACTCAACCAAACCTGCCAACTAATCCTAAAACATCATACGAACTTATTCCAACCTTCGAATCACATCAAACAACGCTAAAACCACAAATCACTCTGCGATCCAAGCCTAAGGATTTCCAAAACTTCAAATTTCCGCTTTCGATCAAAAAGTCTATCAAACCTCGCCCGAATGACCTGAAATTTTGCACACACGTCACATTCAACACTACAGAGCTACTCCAACTCTCGGAATTCCATTCCGACCCCTAGATCAAAATCTCACTATCGAACCGGAAACTTCAAAAATTCAACTTTCGGCATTTCAAGCCTAAATTAGCTACGGAGATCCTAAACACAATTCGAACGCGCCCCTAAGCCCGAAATCACCCAACGGAGCTAACGGAACCAACGGAATTCCATTCCGAGGCCGTCTTTACACTGCTCCGACTATGGTCTGAATTCTAAAACTTAAACTCTCATTTAGGGACTAAGTGTCCCAAAACTCTCCGAAACTCCAAACAAATCCTCCCGGCAACTCACAATAGCAGAAACAAATACGGGGAAAGCAGTTAATCGGGGATCGGGGCGTTAATTCTTAAAACGACCGGCCGGGTCGTTACATCCTCCCACACTTAAACATTCGTTCGTCCTCGAACGAGCATAGAGACATACCTGAAGTAGTGAAAAGATGAGGGTAACGGCTGCGCATATCCTGCTCGGTCTCCCAAGTCGCCTCCTCAACCGGCTGACCCCGCCACTGAACCTTCACTGATTCTTTGACCTCGAGTCTTCGAACCTGCCTGTCCAATATCCGCCACTGGCCTCCTCAACATAAGATAGACTCCTTGTACAAACGTGGACTGAACTAGAAACTCCAACACGTGCG